GCCGCTCGGCTATACTTGGGTTTTTGGGTCTAGCCGGGCGGCTATACTTGTGTCTTTTTTATAAGGGTTAATCGCAGCAATGGTCTCTCAACTATACCCGTAGTTACACTTTGGTCCTTCAATTCAATTATTAGTTGCAGGGGTCACTCAACTAGGTGCTATGTTGCACCAGTAGTCCTTCCGTCAAACTCTGTTAAGTTTTCTTTCAAAAATGAGGGTAAATTCGGATATTCATCTACAACCCTCCCTTCCTCCACAATCCTCCATTGTTGCAACAATCGACGAAGCTCGCTACCACAACACAACCCACACCCACCATTTCTCTACCCACTTCGTCCCCTTCAACGGCGACCCTTCCTCTGCTGCCGCCGTCGACTCCGAGTCCTACTCCCTCGATGAGATCGTCTACCGATCCGACTCCGACGGCCTCCTCGATGTCCAGCACGACATGGCCACCCTCAAGAAATACGACGGCAAGTACTAGCGCGACCTCTTCGACTCCCGCGTCGACAAGACCACCTGGCCCTAAGGCTCCGGCGTCTGGAGCAAGAAGGAGTGGGTCTCCGCCTTCGAAGATAACTCCAATCTCTTCTGGGCTGAGCGTATGCCGACTCCAAATCCTTTGATCGAACCCCAGCAAATGATTTAGGGACATGAAAACCGGCACACAACACACACAATTGAGGCATGTGGCTTCCTTGATCAGAGGTGTAATACTAATATAGGCTTCATTTTTTGTTGGTCCAAATGCATTCTTCTTGCGATATTAATTGTCATAATTAATTGTATCACTGATTTAAATTAAAATTTTTGCTAGATACGAGTTTCCTTGAGTTTTGCCGACTACAAGGAGTTGCTATCGGCTGATGTCCTTGAAATTGCGTTTCAAAGTCAGAATGATCAAAAGCTCATCGGGTTTGGTGGTGGAGATGTGAATTCGTATGGTGCAGAGGCTGGGATGTTGACCAAGATGGGTCCTCCAAGGGGGGGGGCAAGAAGAAGGGGAAGAAAGGGAAGAAGGTTAGCCCTGCTGTCTTGGGATTTAATGTGGTGAGTAACCGCATCATGATGGGTGAGATCCAGACAGTGAAGGGGAAGAAAGGGAAGAAGGTTACTGCCCTTGGTTTTGATGAAAAAAGTTTAGATTCGTTTAGAAAGAAAACAGAAACCTCAAATACATTTGATTGGGATTAGCCACACCGATTTATTTGGCCAACTCTTCATAATCCTTCCTCCATTCATTAGGTTGTGGCAATGGAGGATTGTGGAGGAAAGGGAGTGTTGTAGCCGAATTTCCGAATTTACCCTCATTTTTAACGGAAAAAGGCACAGACTTGACGGAAGGACTACTGATGCAACATAGCACCTAGTTGAGTGACCCCTGCAACTAATAATTGAATTGAGGGACCAAAGTGTAACTACGGGTATAGTTGAGGGACCATTGCTGCGAATAACCCTTTTTATAAATTTTCTTTGTAAATAGTACAGCCGCGCGGCTATACTATTTAAATATAGGATTATTCACAGCAATAGTCCTTCAATTATATCCCAAGTTACACTTTAATCACTCAACTCAAATATTAGTTGTAGAGGCCACTCAATTATGTGTTTTGTTGCACTATTAGTCCTACTGTCAAGTCTCTCTAACGGTAGAGACTAATGGTGCAACACAACACCTAATTGAGTGACCAAAATGTAACTCCGAGTATAGTTGAGGGATCATTGCTACAAATAATCTTAACTAAAAAGTCACATTTGCCCATCAATAATCTAAGAGATGTTTGCCACGTCATCATTCTAAACAGAAAAAGTAACAGACTTGACGGTAGGACTAACGATGCAACAAAACACCTAATTAAGTGACCTCTGCAACTAATATTTGAGTTGAGTGACCAAAGTGTAACTTGGGGTATTGTTGAGGGACCATTGCTGCGAATAACCCTTAAATATATAAGGGTTAATTACTGTAGACGTCCGTGAATTATGGCCCCAGTTGCAATTGGGTCCGCGAACTAATTTTTGTGGCAAAGACATACTTTAATTAGACAATCAGTTGCAATTAGGTCCTACCGTCCAACTCTGTCAATTTGTCCGTCAAAATGAGGGTAAAAACGTCCTTTCAAGTCTGAAGACTCTCCTTCGAATCTGAACACTCGCCTTAAACCCTTTGCTTCGACCCCCAAATGAAGAACTGAAGAACTGAGATGATAATGGGCAGAAACCTGGGCACCATGCCATTTGGGGATTTCTACCACTATCCAGAGTATGTAAGCCCTGCTGAGCCCAATATTACTGATACTACTGAAGTACTCTGGAAGCTCTCGAGTTTTGGGTTCAGCCTACTATCACCCAACGACCAGCAAAACCAGATTGAAGAAATCCCTGGAGTACTTTCTGCCGCCGGAGTTGCTGATGTCAAAAGACTTGAAGGGGAAATGGAGGAGGTCCCTCTCTCTCGCAACCCAACCCCCACCTCCTAAACCCATCTCAATCTTCATCTATAACGTCCAGAAAATCAATTACCCAACAAATATCAAACTTGAAATTTCAATACCCACATCAAATCTCAGCCCCAAATAGCTGAAACTTTATACTTTCAACCAAATCAAATACACCCAGCATGGCTACAATTTCATATCTCAAATAACCATAATTTCAAGTCACAAAGAAAACCCAGAAACAAAATAAATCTAGAAAACACAAGGGTCAAGAGAAAACAAACAGCCATCAAAGAAGAAGAAAGATACGATTCGATCCGATTCGCTCGGGCGTCAAGAGCTCTCTTTGACTGATTGATTTCTCACTACACTTGTACATATAATGATCTGCAATTTCTGTTGCTGTTGTTGTTGGTCTTCCTCTGTGTTTTGAGGGGGTGGGATAAGGAGGGCGGAATGGGTTGCGAGAGAGAGGGAGAGACAGAGTGAAACAGAGAGGGATTTTTATTTTTATGCTGGACTAATATAATATAATTAAATAGTATAGCCTATACTTGGGGTTTTTTTCAAAAAATAGTATAGCTGCGCGGCTAAACTATTTAAATATAATATATCTATTTTTCAAGCTAATTTTATATTATTCAAGCCACTAATTAGCAAGAATATTCAATTGAATTTCTTCAAGAACTTCTCAGGACAGGATAGGAAAAGCAACATAACTTCAACTTCATCAAGAAATTAGCATGCACAAATCAAGCAAGCTTTCACTATCATTTCATACCGGATGAAATAATTAATTGTTCAGCTATTCACTTTTTCTGAAAACCAACACTTTGAATACCTCTCATGATGACAGCATTCGGCCAACCCAGAGTCAAAAGTTCGACAGAGCAAGTTGTATGAGTTCTATCAAATAGACAATAAGTTGCATTAGTCCAAAAATCAGCAACAATACAGTAAGCATTTGACTGAGAATGCAACGATCAAGTAGACAACCTGCACAGAGACAATCTTTGGATAGCGAGTGCCCCTTTCAGCTACCTGAACAAACTTCCAAGAGCATCAAGTTGTCTGTCTATACTCTATAGGAATCGAACAAAACTGTTGGGTTGGATCAAACTCTATTTCTGTCAAATCTTTCAAGTTTCCAATCTCGGAGGGAATGGAGGCAGTGAACTTGTTTTGGAACAGAAAAAGGACTTTGAGTTTTGTCAAAAGCCCAATTTCTGCCGGAATATTCCCAATGAAGCTGCAAAGAGGCCATTTCAGTCCAATTGGAGAGCAGAGAAGGCAAGAGAGGACCAGTAAATGAATTCCCAGATAAACCCAATTCAACAATGTTGGTAAGCTTGGACAAGGACAGTGGCAGTTCCCCACTGAGGAAATTGGAAGCCAGGGCCAAGTAGGAGAGGTTGGTACAAAGACCAAGCTCAGAAGGGATTGAAGAGTTCAATGTTGGTAAGCTTGGACAAGGACAGTGTCAGTTCCCCACTGTGGGAATTGGTAAGCAGGTCAATTTTTTCAAGGCCAGATATCAAACCAATATCTTCAGGAATTGGACCACTGAAGTGGTTCAGTGCTAAATTAAGGTGTTTAAGCTTAGGAAAGCTTGTTGTCAATGGTCCTTGCAATTGGTTATTGGTGAGATAGAGAAACTCAAGCTTGCCCAGACTAGTAAATACCTTTCTTGTATTTGACCAGTGAAAGCATTTTGAGACAAGTCCAGGAATGTCAAGTTCAAACATTTAGATATAAATTCTGGGAATTCTGAATCAAGACTGTTTAGATAAAAATCAATGTATGTCAAAGAAGGCATGCCTGAAAATTTAGACCAGTCAGGAGTTTCTAAGTAGTTTGCTCCAAGAATCAAAAACTGTACCTTTTGGAGATTGCTGAGCTGATAGGGAATTACACCAGTGAGATTGTTGTTGAAGAAACTCAAATACTGAAGCTCAGTCAACATGCCTATCTGCACAGGTATTTCTTGACTGAATAAGTTGGTGCCCAAGTCCAAAGTTGTGAGCTTGGAGAGTTTGCCAATGGCTAATTTTAATCGAAATTGTAATATTTTTCTGTTTATAGTAGGTAAGGCTAATTTTGAAAGATGGGGTGATCATGAAGATGAATTCCTTTTGAGTCTCACAGAACAATACATACAGACTTTGCTTATCTTCAAACTTCACTTTCAATTTCACGTTTGTCTACACAGACAGATATTGGACCCTACCCTACACTTTTTTCAGCAATCTATCACCTTGTTGGAAATTTTTAACATTCTTTCATGCATTTTAAGGGGCCAGTTTCTTTTTAGGCCCCAACAGTTTGGTGGTTGCTAACTAGTTTTTGGTTCTTTTCTTTCTGGACAACACATTGGTTGTTAGTAGGTCGGAAGTGTTACTTTTGTTGGTAGTTGAAAACTTAATCAAATGCATAACATAGAAGTTTTAACATAATCTGGTTGGATTACACGAATAATCGATTCGTGAATATTAGTAACACGAGTTGTCACATACACAAATAATTGTTATAAATCAATGTTTACAACCGTTCACATTGACAGGATAGCTACAACCCTTAACATTGCATCGGTACATAAACGATTAGTATTCATATATGTGGGGACCTCTTATGTTCAAAAATTCTTCTGGTTTTGAAAACTTGCCAACTTGTTGATGGTGATCATGCCAAATGGTGCAGAGAGTTTAGCCTGGGTCCTGGCTGATGACAGCTCTTTTGCCACAAAATCCATGGTCGGTCTTGACTCTGCATTAGTGCGAGTACAGGCCAAAGCCATGGTTACCACCGAAGCCACTGCCGCTGCTGACTGACCAGGAGGAGGCCTTAGCCGTTGGTCTAACAAATCCTTCAAAAGCAATTCTGCATTTTCTGTTAATGAGACTGATAGAGAAGATAAAAGCTCCCCAGGATGCCTTCCCATCATTATTTCTAATGCCACCACTCCAAAGCTATACACATCACACTTATCCGTCACACGCATTGTGAAAGCCAGCTCTACATGCACATCAAAACAACAAAATTCTATCATAAACAATGTGTCAATATAAGTCATGTATAAATTGAATATTAGTTTATTGGATTTTACCTGGAGCCATGTAGCCGTAAGATCCAGCTACAGAAGTCCAATTGGATGAATCTGTGCTCAACAACCTTGCAGTTCCAAAATCCGATAACCGTGGCACGAAACCCTTCTCAAGTAATATGTTGTTCAAAGTTACGTCCCTGTGAACAATTGGAGGAGAGCAATCATTGTGCAAGTAAGCAATTGCATGAGCTAGCCCTTGCACAATTTTCACCCTTGTGCTCCATCCAAGTTCTGCTTCCCTTTCCTCTGTCCCATACAATACTTTTCTCAAGCTACCTCTCTCTGCATATTCATACACCAAGTACAAGCAGTCCCTCCATGAACAGAACCCATAGAGATTTATTATGTTTCTGTGCCTCACTTCTGTCAAGGTTCGTATCTCATTCTCAAAACTTTGGCAATTTATTTTTGGAATGTCACTAGAGTCTGAAATGTTCAGCTTCTTAACTGCAACCACTTTTCCCCTGCCCAACATAGCCTTGTAGACACTCCCAAATCCTCCTTTTCCAATGAGGTACTTCTCATCAAAGTTCTCCGTCGCATTCACAATTGCACCAAATGTGAATTTTCCATATCTTCCCCATATCCCTAAATCAAAACTCTCAGACATCCTAGGACTTTCGGTTTCCTTAAGCTTCGATTTCCGGCTGAACTTTAGCACTGCAGCAGTACTTGTAGTTGCAATCACTAATATAACACAACTGGAAACCAGGAGAGCAAGTAGAACCTTGCTAATCTTGTTGGACTTTCCGTGATTTGAGTTGCATGGAGTTAGTCCCTCGGTATCTCCACATAAACCATCATTTCCAAGAAAGGCATTTGCAGGCACTTTTCGAAAAATGGCACCAGTTGGGATTGGACCAGTTAAGTTATTGTAAGAGAAATCAATGCCAACTAGACTAACCATTTTGGAAAATGTTTCTGGGATGCTCCCTGAGAGATGGTTATGTGAGACATTAAGAATCTCCAGCCGTATAAGCTTAGCCAGGTCTGCAGGAAGCGGTTCTGAAAGTGAATTGCTACTGAGGTCTAACAAGTACTGCAAGGGCAAATTACCAAGGTCTGGTGGTATTTGACCAAATAAATTGTTGTGGCTCAGGTTTAAAGTTGACAACTTCTCAAACTTACCAAGCTCTATGGGGATGTTTCCTATCAAATTGTTTTCGGATAAATCAAGCAACTCGAGCTTAGTCAAATCGCTTAGACTCTTGGGGATGTCTCCTGTCAAATGATTCTTGCTCAGATTGAGCTTGTACAGTAGGCCTAAGTTTCCCAACTGAGCCGGAATATATCCACTCAAGTCATTAGAGTCCAGGATTAGTTCTGCCAATTTGCTCAACTTCCCAAGCTCAGGTGGGATTTGACCAGAAATTTTATTTCTATCCATCAATAAGCGATTGAGACTTTCACATTCTCCCAATTCTGGTGAGATTTCACCAACAAATTGATTATTGCTGAGAAAAACAGAGTTAAGATTAGGATGAATACCAAATGAATTTGTAATGCTTCCCGTGAATTGGTTGTGACCAACAGCAACTTTTTGTAGTTTTGAACAATTTCTCAAGCACTTTGGCAATGACCCAGAGAAGTTGTTATCACCTACAGACAATTCTTCCAGAGCAGAACCGCTACACAATTCTGGTGGCAGCTCTCCTGTAAAGCTGTTGTTCGAAAGGCGCAGAATGCTCAAATTAGGACTGTACCTGCCAAAATCCCTTGGAATGCTTCCCGACAAATTATTGGTGAACACAGAGAATGACTTCAATTTAGTAAGCCGAGAAATGGTGCCTGGCAACTCTCCATACAGGTGGTTAGTGTCTGCATCAAATTCCTCCAGCGACACCATATTTTCAATCTCTGGTGGAATCATCCCAGTGAGATTGTTGAAGAAAAGGTAGACTGTCTTAATATTTGTGAGGTTCCACAGTGTCATAGGAATTGGCCCTGAGAGTTGGTTTCCTGAAAGAGCCAATTTTTTCAAATCTTTCAGGTTACCAATCTCTGAGGGAATTGATCCAGAGAAGTTATTGTTGTTTAGAAAAAGGTAGTTGAGCTTTGTCAACAGGCCAATTTCTGCTGGAATATTTCCACTGAACTTATTGTTTTGAAGTTGCAAAGATTCCACTTCAGTCCAATTGGAGATAAGGGAAGGCAGGATGGGACCCGTAAGATGATTTTCAGATAAACCCAATTCATTGATGTTGTTCAGATTGGACAAGGACAGAGGCAATTCCCCATTGAGTTTATTGGAAGCCAGGGCCAAGTAGGTGAGATTGGTACAAAAACCAAGTTCAGAAGGGATTGAAGAGTTTAAGAAATTGTTTCGAAGATCAAGGTACCGCAGCTCTCTGAGTTGGCCTATAGAAGATGGAATTTTCCCTTCAAGGTGATTGGCATTTAGGTCCAAGTGGGTGAGGTTGGTACAAAAACCAAGTTCAGAAGGGATTGAAGAGTTTAAGGAATTGTTTTGAAGATCAAAGTGTTAGAGAAAAACTTAGGTTTAATATGCATCAGGGGAGGTGTCTTTTGGACTTGAACCTTCCTTAGTGAATACTCATCGGATTTACCAGTGAATCAGTGTGTATAGGAGACATTGAACTGTCCACTATATTCGGTAAACCGAGACAATGAGTAGCACACATATTGAACCTTGACACCTTTCAATTCATACGGTTGTGTTCATTTTGGTCTTGAACTATCCCGGATTCGTGGAAGCTTTAGAGAAATTAGCCATATCATTCTCACAAATGCGACCCCACATTACTTCCATATAGGTGACACTTATGAATATGGATAACCTGCGGTATTCCTTTATCTTTTGATAGTGTCATTAAGAATGATTAAACATTCACCCTTAACATCACAGGTAACATACTTTCCTTATCATAGGAATAAGCATTTTTGTATGCTCTATTCTTTGAGTTTCACCCAACTAGTTTTCCTTATTGAACCTAGGCTTGGAATCCCAAGTCGCTAGGTTAGGTTTCCGCCAAGTTACTCCTCATTGTGTTGGCTTTAAGCCCATTCCCCTCGATAAATATAACACTTTATCTTTTGCTAAGCCCTTCGTAAATTGATCTGCAAGATTCTCCTTTGATTTCACATAATCAATGGAAATAATGCCAGTCGAGAGCATATGTTTTATAGTGTTATGTCTACGTCTTATGTGCCTTGACTTGCCATTGTACATAAAGTTTTTAGCTCTACCTATAGCTGCCATGCAGTCACAGTGCACACATATGGCTGTTACAGGTTGTGGCCATAGTGGAATATCTTCTAGGAAGTTCTTAAGCCATTCCGCTTCTTCGGCGGTCTTGTCTAAGGCTATGAATTCCGATTCCATAGTTGAACGTGCTGCGCACGTTTGCTTTTGTGATTTCCATGATACTGCAGCCCCTCCAAGTGTAAAAACATAACCACTTGTGGCCTTTTCCGTATCGTTTGAAATCCAATTGGCATCGCTATATCCTTCCAAAACTGGAGGGTATCTTGTATAATGTAATCCATGGTTCACTGTATGTTTTAAGTATCTTAATACTCTAACCAATGCTTCCCAATGAGCCTTTGATGGATTACTTGTATATCTTGCCAATCTATTCACAGAATAAGCAATATCCGGTCTGGTACAATTCGTAATGTATTGTAGTGACCCAATGACACGTGAGTATTCTAATTGAGACACACTATCTCCATTATTCTTCTTTAAGTCACAGTCAGGATAAAAAGGAGAATTAGCCGGATTGCTATTAAAGTGTCCAAACTTTTTTAACATTGTTTCCACATAGTGTGATTGGCTAAGTGCATAGCCATCACTACTTCTCTGAATTCGAATTCCTAAGATGACATCGGCTTTTCCCATGTCTTTCATATCAAAGGTTGAATTCAATATTTTCTTTGTGGAATTTATGACATCTAAGTTTGGTCCCATGATGAGCATATCATCAACATACAAGCATACAATGACACAAGAGCCATTGTCAAACTTTTTGAAATAAACACATTTATCACATTCGTTGATTTGAAATCCATGTGATAACATTGTGTGATCGAACTTTTCATGCCACTGCTTAGGTGCTTGTTTAAGTCCATAAAGGGACTTTACAAGTTTACACACCTTCTTCTCTTGTCCTTTTGCCACAAACCCTTCGGGTTGTTCCATATAAATTTCTTCATCTAACTCACCATTTAGAAATGCGGTTTTTACATCCATTTGATGTATTTCCAAATTGTATATAGCCGCAAGAGCAATTAACATCCTTATAGATGTAATTCTAGTGACAGGTGAGTATGTATCAAAGAAATCCAGCCCTTGTTTTTGACGATAACCTTTCGCTACTAGGCGAGCTTTGTACTTATCAATTGTACCGTCAGGTTTCAATTTCTTCTTGAAAATCCATTTGTAACCAATCGGTTTGCTCCCAGGTGGTAAGTCCACTAGTTCCCACGTATGGTTTTGTAAAATGGATTCAACTTCACTATTTATTGCTTCTTTCCAATACATAGATTCGGATGAAGTAATAGCCTCTTTATATGTTTGTGGCTCGGCTTCGGTAAGGAAGGTTAAGAAATCAGGTCCAAAATCTTTTGTAACCTTGAGTCTCTTTCCTCTCCTAGGTTGTATTTCTTTTTCTTGGACGGTTGGTGTAGCTTCACTTGGTTCCAAGTTCTTGTCTTGAACACCAGATGATGAAGCATCATCACTGTCTCTTACATGACTATCATCATGTGCCTTTCTCTTATTTCCATTGTGTCTATCCTTGTAAGGGAATATATGCTCGAACCATTCAGCATCATTAGACTCAATGATGGTATTCACTTGGATATCCGAAATTCCAGATTTGATAACTAGAAATCGGTATGCTGCACTATTATTGGCATATCCAATAAACACGCAATCAATAGTTTTCGGTCCAAGTTTAACTCTCTTTGGTAAAGGTACTTGAACCTTTGCTAGGCAACCCCACACTTTTAGGATTTTGTAGGCTGGTTGTCTCTTGTTCCATTTCTCAAATGGAGACTGATCACTCTTCTTTGGTGGAATTCTATTCAAGATAGTGTTGGCAGTAAGTAAGGCTTCACCCCACATGTTAGGCGGTAAACCGGAACTGTTAAGCATGGAATTCATCATGTTCTTTAACGTTCTATTCTTACGCTCAGCCACTCCATTTTGTTGAGGAGTGTAAGGTGCTGTCGTTTGATGTATAATTCCATGAGAAGCACAAAATTCTGCGAAGGCGTTTGACTCATATTCGCCTCCTCTATCAGAACGCAGAACTTTAATCTTCTTGTCTAACTGGTTTTCCACTTCGGCTTTATATGTCTTAAACATATTCAAAGCTTCATTTTTGCTATGTAACAAATATACATAACAATATTTACTGCTGTCATCTATGAAAGTTATATAATAATTCTTTCCACCACGACTTGGATTTGATTTGAAATCACCCAAGTCTGTATGAATTAATCCCAACAATTCGTTTGATCTTTCAATCACAGAATTATAAGTCTTGCTAGCAAACTTTGATTCAACACACGTTTCACATTTATGTGCATTATCCAATGTACAACTAGGCAGCAAACCAAGATTAACCATTCTATGCAGAGATTTAAAGTTAACATGTCCTAATCTAGCATGCCATAAAGTAGAAGACTCAAGCAAGTAAACGGAAGCATTCATATTATTAATAGCATCAACATAAAGTACATTGAGTTTAAAGAGCCCTTCAGCCAAGTAGCCCTTTCCTACGAATGTTCCCCCCTTAGTGAGAACAAATTTATCAGATTCAAATACAAGTTTAAAGCCTTTCTTGTTAAGCATAGGACCAGAAACAAGGTTCTTAGTAATAGATGGAACATGCAGCACGTCCATAAGAGCAAGGTCTTTTCCAGAAGTGAATTTCAGCACCACTTTCCCTTTTCCAGCAACGTTGGCAGCAGATGCATTCCCCATGAAAAGTTTCTCATCTCCATTGGTCGGAGTGTAGGTGGTGAACATATTTCTGCTTCCGCAGATGTGCCTTGTTGCACCGGTATCCATCCACCAATCATTGCTATCAGTCGCCATATTTGCTTCATAAACAACACCAATGAAATCTTCTGCAACATTGGCTTGGTTGTTGTTGTTTGGAGTAGGGTTTGCCTTCTTGTGGCGGCAGTCTTGTGCCTTGTGTCCAACTTTTCCACACACCCAGCAAGCGCCCTTAATAGCCTTGAAATTCTTCCCTTTTGGAGCATGAACATTCGAACCTTTGCCTTTGGCTTTGTTCCCCTTGTTCTTCTGGGATTTTGGTTTAGGCTTGGACGTCTCTCCACCCTCAACAATGTTGGCCTTGGCATCGAATTCGGAAGCATTCAGTCCCTCACTCTTGCGGTGATCTTCCTGTACCCTCAGTTTAAGAACGAGATCCTCCATTGACATATCATTCTTCTTGTGCTTGAGATGTATCTTGAAATCATTCCAAGATGGAGGCAGCTTCTCTATCACAGATCCGACAGAGAATTCGGAGGGCAAGGCCATTCCTTCTGCAGCAAGTTCATGAATGATAATCTGCAGTTCTTCAACTTGATTGACAACAGTTTTCGACTCCACCATTTGGTACTTCAGAAATTTCCCAATGATGAACTTCTTTGAACCAGCATCTTCGATCTTATACTTCTTCTCCAGCGATTCCCAGAGATCCTTTGCAGTTTTATAAGATCTATACACATCATAGAGCGTATCATCAAGGCTATTAAGAATGTAATTCCTACATAAAAACTCACTGTGTTTCCATGCGGATATAGCATTTAGTTTTTCTGCAGGAATGTCATCACCCTCAGCCACAGGGCATTCTTCCTTGATGACATGAGCAAGGTTCAGAGTTGTTAGATAGAACAACATCTTCTGTTGCCATCTCTTGAAGTCCAGACCCTTGAACTTGTCAGGCTTCTCAACGTGAGGCTTCACAGTATTCCCAGATTGTTCCATATAAAAAAAAAGGTTCTGCTATAGATGTTAGAGAACAATAAGGTACCGGACAAACAGTAAGCAATACTTGATTGAATAAATTTCACTCAATGTAGACAACAATACAAAATCGTCTAGTAAATAATTACACAACTTGTAGAACAATTACAAAACTTACAATACAAGAATCAAAGGGGTAACAGAAATCAGGAAACTGACTTGATCGGAGATTGAGGCTAGCGTATCGCTATGTCCTATAGCAGAATTTCGCCCCTACTCGTTGCTGTAGTTCGTTGAGCGCCTGCCACCAGGATTCAACAATCTATAACCAAGAACCTAGCACTCGGTTTCTTGGTTCTGGCGAATGTACTCGATGGATTTTCTCTCAGAACGATTTTTCAGAATTTGAAGGAGGGGAGGAAGAATCTTCTATATATTTTACTTTGGCGTTGGCATCTGATTTATAGGAGTGTAGACGCCTCGTCTGATAAGACGTAACAGCTCTCTGAGTTGGCCTATAGAAGATGGAATTTTCCCGTCAAGGGAATTTTGATGCAGTTCGATACGCTGAAGACCAGATATTGAACCGATATCTTCAGGAATTGGGCCACTGAACTTGTTCACTTGTGCATGAAGGTGTTTGAGCTTGGAAAGTTTGGAAAAGTTTTTTGGAAAGGGTCCTCTTGATCAAAAAAGTTGTTGCCCAAGTCCAAGAATGTGAGGCTGGTGAGGTTGCCAATGGCAGATGGAATTTGTCCACTGAAATTGTTGCTGAAGAGGTTGAAGTGAGTGAGATTGGGAAACTGGATGAAGTCGAATCGGGTTAATGTTCCAGTGATGTTCATGTTGGAGAGGTCTATTTTGGAGACTGTTCCGGTTTTGGTGGTGTGATCGCCGCACGCAACACCGGTCCAGTTGCAAAGGTTGTTGATGTTAGTGAGGGACCATGAATGGAGAAGTGAAGGTGGTGGAGAAGAAGAAGAAGAAAAAAAGCTTCTCTTCCATTTGATCAGGGCCTCTGCCTGTGCTCTTGGTGTTGGAGATGATGATGTGGTTGTGATCAGTGGCAATGAGGAAAACAGGAAAATATGAAAGAGGAGGGAAAGAGGTTTCTGAATCATTGGCATGGTTTGGACTTGCATTTGCTTTAGTGTTGGATCTGATTTGAGTTTGTCAAATTGTGACATAAAGTTTGGGAATTGTTGTCGTGGATGGTTCATTTCTTAGATGCTTGCATGCTTCCTTATATATTGAAGAAGCACGAGTTACACATCTCACTTGGACTCTCCCATTAATTTGTTTCACACGCACAATTTCGGCTTATGACCCATTTGGGACTGGATTTCACATGTGAAAATCATTTTTGGACTCGGTGTCTATGAAGTGATATTCATTTTTCACCATCACATGTTTGGCTTTGAAAAGGTCACCGTCCAAAAAATTATTAGCATAAAAGAAGCCACTGGGAAAGTAGAATGATGGCCACTTCCTAAATAAAATTACAGTATTTTAGTTGCAAGCTTTGGCTTACATATTTTAAAGCGTTCATTTTTCACCATCACATGTTTGGCTTTGAAAAGGTCACCGTCCAAAAAATTATTAGCATAAAAGAAGCCACTGGGAAAGCAGAATGATGGCCACTTCCTAAATAAAATTACAGTATTTTAGTTGCAAGCTTTGACTTACATATTTTAAAGCGTAAAAGGCAGAGCAGCCAGTAAAGTGGAATTACTATTACTCATTATTTGGCTTATCAAGTTAAACAAACATTAAGTAGCCAAAGTGTGTGAAGCAACTGATTACAATTTACAAGTCTATGACATTACTATGTCGTCCATTCATATTTTAACAAGTGAGTTAGTATCACCATTAGCGGTGGAGTTAGGATTCTTACCACCCCTAACCAAGCCATGGCACATGCCTTGCTGTGGCTCCGCCCCTAACCAACATATATGACCGTAAACACGAAAAAAAAAAATCCTAATCAAAATCCCAATATCACCAATTAGTGCCTGAATTGAATTCATAAGTAGAAGCTGTTATGGTAGGTAGATAAAATACTATATGATCTTACAAATTTAATAAAACACATTGCATTAAAACCATCTCCAAGTGCCTTAAAGTTCTTTGAACTTGAGTCCCAATGAACAATGAGTGTTTCACCTCAAAAGTTGTGGGTTCAAATCAAGATATGAAAGGAAGCTGTGTAGCTGCGCCGTTTTTCCAAATCAAGAACAACTCAAAAGTTGTCAAAAGTTGGTTGAATACAGTAAACTCTCAATTTACACGGCTTTGACCAGCAGCAATTCGAAGTTTCCTGGTAGTACAACAAGTACTTATTATGAAGACCCTACGGAGGGAAACGAAAAAACCAAAACAAAACAAAACAAAAGACAGGTTGTTATTAGTGTTGTTTCTTGTTGGAAAGCCTGCAAACCCTGCACTTTTAAGTTCCCACTAGCTAGCCAACCATTGAGTCATGGAAAAGGGTTTTGACTTGCATTTCAGTGGTCTCATGTTCGAACTTCATGACACCTTGATAGTAACAGCCATTAATCAGTTCAAGTCTTACTAACAGGGATTGTGTAGGCACAAAGTGGAAAAAGCAAGACAAGCCTGGGTGAAGGCAAGCAAATGATGGAGCTGTTGTAAACATAAATAGTTGGGGAAAAAATAATGTGAAAGCAATGAACTTTAAATTTAAATCAAGCAAGCATGCACCCATTGTCAAATTCATGTCAATCTGCAAATTTAGAGTAATGTGAAAGCAAAATCCGAAAACACTACATAAAAACCGATCAGGCCAATGTAATCTGTCTGCAATCGCCTTAAGCTGCATTTAAAAATTACATAACTCATACACGAAGCGTTTGAACAGAAGCAAAATTACAAACTGTTTGCTTGAGCAAACCTGCCGTCAATGGCCTCGGTGATATTCTTAGCATTCAAACACTTGGGGCCATCTCGTATCCAAGTGTTTTCATCTGCCCAGACGGTCCCGTAACCTCTAATATCAGAACAAATTTTCACACATCAGAAGTGAAAAGCAAGCTGGCACATCATTATTAGCATGAACTGATACTCTCAGAGCTACTTTACAACCTTGGTGGCCAAAACGACGCTCCTCGCTCCTCCCCTGAGTCTGGGCTCGCTGAACCACTGGATACATTTCTGCAAAGTCGAAGAAATTGATGCCGGCCAGGAAAGCTTCGTCGAGGAGGCCAAACGACTCCCGAAACGTGTTTTGCTCGCCGAAATGAGTGGTAGTGCGACTTTTGAATGAAAATGGCGGTGTCTGGGTTCTGTGGTTGTGAATTGTTGAACTAATCAGGAATGGTGTTCTGGGTTCTGATATATGTAATTTATTTATTTCTTAATAAATCGTATCGCCGGGCGGCTATACTTGGCCCTTTTTTATTTAATTGTTAAAAATAAATAGTATAGCCGCGCGGCTATAACTGGGCCTTTTTGTCTTTTTAAATAAATACCATAGCCGCGCGGCTTTACTTGAGTTTTTTATTTAATTTTTTACTAAATAGTATAGCCGCACGGCTATACCTGATTCTTTTTCAATAAATAGTAGCCGCGCGGCTATACGTGGGTCTTTTTTAATTAATTCTTTTTATATAAATAGTATAGCCGCGCAGCTATACTGGGGCCTCTAGAAATTCTTTTTTAATAAATAGTAAAGCCGCGCGGCCATACTGAGTCTTTTTTAATTCTTTTTAAAAATAGTAGAGCCGCACGGCGAAACTCGTTAAATATATTATATTTAACTCATTGCTATAGAGAACTGGAAAATCTCTCTCTCTCTCTCTCTGTCTCCTCTAGCCACCCAAACCACCAAAGCCACCACCGTGGGATCTTATATCCCTGCCCCTCTCTCTACTCTGTCTGCAACTCTCTCCCTGCCCCCTCCCACAGCCCACCAACCCATCCACTCTAGCCACCCAAACCACCACCTCGACCTCCATAACCACCACCGTGGGATCTTATACCCCTGCCCCTCTATGTACTTTCTCTGCAACTCTCTCCCTGCCCCATTCCACAGCCCACCAACCCAGCACTCTAGCCACCCAAATCACCACCCCGAGAGAAGGAAAGAGGAAGAAAAAAGAGAAAAAAGAAAAAAGAAAAAAAGAGAAAGAAGGAAAGAAGAAAAATGAGGAACAAAGAAGGAAAGAAGAAAAAAAAAAGGGAGAGAAAGAAGAAACAGCGAAGGAAAAGAAGAAGAAAAGAGGAGGAAAGAGAGGAGAAAAAAAAAAAAAGAGAAACAGAGAGAGAGAGAGAGAAGGGAAGAAAAAAAAATTATAATTTTGGATTGATTTGACGATTATACCCCTAGATTTAACGGTTTTTTTGACAGAAGGACTATTTAAGAGTACATGTATTAACGTTAGGGACCATTAATGATACAAAAAAACGTTAGGGATGCAATGTGATAATTTCACAAACGTCAGGGATGTTTTGTGATAATAAGCTTTTATTTAATTGTTAAAAATAAATAGTATAGCCGCGCGGCTATAACTGGGCATTTTTGTCTTTTTAAATAAATACCATAGCCGCGCGGCTTTACTTGAGTTTTTTATTTAATTTTTTACTAAATAGTATAGCCGCACGGCTATACCTGATTCTTTTTCAATAAATAGTAGCCGCGCGGCTATACGTGGGTCTTTTTTAATTAATTCTTTTTTTATAAATAGTATAGCCGAGCAGCTATACTGGGGCCTCTATAAATTCTTTTTTAATAAATAGTAAAGCCGCGCGGCTATACTGAGTCTTTTTTAATTCTTTTAAAAAATAGTAGAGCCGCACGGCTAAACTCGTTAAATATATTATATTTAACTCATTGCTATAGAGAACTGGAAAATAATCAGTTAAAAATTGTACCTTGCATATAATTCTTTCCTTGTCGGAAAAATGACACACTAGTTTTCCTATTCTTTCTTCCTGCCGACAAAAAGAATTTCGGCCTTAACCAAGAAAATACGTCTGGTACTGAAAAACCGAAAAGCAGTGGAGCAATACACACCCAAAGGCCAATTATCCCCCCAGCCACTTCTTCATGTTTCAAACCAAATCCTATGATTCTTTAAGGTTTTTGAAATTCTAACCTTCAAGGTCTTTTGGTCGTAGAAAATGTTTGTTTTCCATATCAATCTGCAATAACAGTACAAATTCCATGGATGCAGAAACAATAACAAGAAAAAATGGATTCAATCAAATTACACAGTGGGAAGGAAGATTTTATCAACAAGAGAACAAAAAACTACACACTGCACACAACACAAGGAACAAGTTCAGCTTCTTCAGGCTTTCCCTTCAACTCTTGCATATGTAGCTGCAACACATGCATCGACGAAATCTTCGTCTATAAAATCCGTGGAGAAGATTTGCAGTCTGTCTGCAACACCTTTAGAGAAGCACTGAGTTATGAACAACCTTGCGAATCCATGAATCCGACGGGTCACAGGTTTCACACATAAAACCGGGTTATCAGCCTGAGGTGTCACTGTGTTCTCCACCCTGTAAAAGAATTTCCTTGTTGAAACTGGTGGCTGCTCACTCAAATACTTCAGATTGCTTTCGAACTTCGTCGATGGCAAATCCGTGTCGATCCAGTTATCCTTCAAGTGCCCTGCATTCCACAGAGGGCTCCCTGCCTTGGCCTGAGGTGACTTCCTCGGCTTCCACACACATATCACTCTCCTTGGCAGCAATTCCGCAATTGTCTTGTTAAAGACATGCTCATCCTGATGGATCAAAAACTCGCCAAGTTGATCCACCAAGTACTTGTCAAAGTCCGGAGGGTCTTCATGTCCAAACTCAGTCCTGATTTCAAGGATTATGATCTCAGACTGTGTTTCGGATAGAAACTTCTTGACATCATTGATCACAACATCTATGCTGTAAGTGAGAAGGATCCCATGGCAGACGCGGCGATCCTCCTGAATTCGAATATCTAGAACTCTGGTGCCCTTCACAAGCTGCTGGTAGATGGACAAAGATTGGCATTGAGCAAAAGGCCTAGTGATGGCTGGAAATCCAATCTTGTTGGTTGCAGAGTCATGAGTTCCTGGCCATACGATCTTGTTTATATGAACTTTCTCAGGGTTGATGCCAGCCATCCAGTTTTTCCTATCTGAAGGCTTGTAGTCACAGCCTGGAAACTCCTCACCACAGTTTTGGTGAAGATCACATAGAGTTTTCTTCTCCGTCGAAATCGCCTTTCGCCGTTCTACCTGCTTAGAGACCTGAGAACCCATCTCCAATATGAAAGACGAAGAAGCAGAACGGATTCTATCTTCTTCTTCTTCTTCCTCCTCTTCTGCTTTTTTTCTGGCTGTAAATAGAGCAAGCTGTGCAGAGAAAAATAAAAGGTTTTTTTTGGGTTATAATAGGAAGCATTGTAACGTCAGACAACAGATTTTAATTGTGGCAGCACCTATTGATGCGTACAAAAACTGATTATTGTTCATTAGTGCATAATTTTTTTTTATAATTATTGACAAGATTATGATTAGGACTGGATCTAGATGTATCATCTTTATCTTGGTGGGTCGCCCATTTGATTGAATTATTGGTGGAGAGTCATAATTGATAATCTGGTCTTGCTGGTCCAATTGTATTCATCGATTTTATTTAATGTTCATTAGTGCATAAATTTTTTATAATTATTGACAAGATTATGATTAGGACTGGATCTAGATGTGTCATCTTTATCTTGGTGGGTCGCCCATTTGATTGAATTATTGGTGGAGAGTCATAATAGATCATCTGGTCTTGCTGGTCCAATTGTATTCATCGATTTAATTTAATCTTCTTTGGTTGGTCCACTTGTATGGTTGTCCAAAGCTATGTGAGCTGTTGGCTGTTGGTTTTGATTATGTTTTCTATGTTGCTTCCCATAACAAGAAACCGTAGTATCTAGAAGAGTAATTTTGTTCCTCACTCTTTTTTAAGTTTTAACCTTGGTGTAGCATTACTGTCTCTTCATCTGGTCAATTGAATTTACCAGATGCTCATTACAGAAACATTTACTATCAATAGCAGACCATAACACTAATTGTGATGCAGACATGGGCTTAGCCAAGTTGGTTAGAGCGGATGTGCTCCCCATTCTGCACTCGAGTTTGAATCCCCCTCTCCATAGTTTAGATTAAATGTTGGTTAGAGCGGATGTGCTCCCCATTCTGCACTCGAGTTTGAATCCCCCTCTCCATAGTTTAGATTAAATTAAAGTAGAATTTGTATAAAAGTTTTTTAAAAAAATAACACAATTTGTGATGACATGTTTATTCATCCCTAAAGCTTTGTCTTCCTGTCCAAATGTCAAGTGATGAAATGGTTTTCTCTACTGTTTCAATAGACTATATGAAAACTTCTGAGAAATAAAAATTCTTTATGGTTGATAAGGGTCACAATCCTGAAAAAAACCCACGCTCCTTAATTAGACAAGCAAGAAAATTGTCAAGAAGCTCACACCATGAAGTTTCATGGGGTCTACCATGTGCAAATATTGCCCCACAGAATCTGTACCCTACAGAGTAAGTTTATAGTTCAGGATAAGATCACCTGGCAACAGTGCAGAATTAATGAGCAAATGGTTAAAAAGATTATGAAACTTTCTACAGAGGCTTTGCACAAAATTCAGACATAGTTCAATCCAAGTTCCAACCAAACTACCTCCAAATGGAAGCCCATGCCTAATATAAGTTTCAACATTCAAGTTGGGTCAAGTATGTACAGCACACCCAAACTTACAGCCTGAGCTTGTTGTGGTCTAAATGAGAAATGAGCATACTTCGCAGTTATATGCATACCTATTGAAAGTTGAAAACTCCATGTAGCTTAAGTGGAAAAGTCACTCAAGTGTAGTATAACAGGCCTGAGGATAAAGCTTGTCTTTTACAGATAATGAGAGAAATGAACTATGCAAAACAAAGCATAATACCCTCCACGGGATCAGAAACTTAGATTTTTATTGAAAAATCTCGCATGTATGTCATTGTGGAGATTTAAATCTAAGGATCTAAAAACAGTAGCTTCAAAACATGTTACAAATTATAAAAAAAAAAATTGAATGGATATGTTGTATCACTTCTTCTCCCTCTTACCGCCCCACAGAGTAACAAAACATCAAATTTTTACCTCACAGCATTAGGTACTGAAACATCTTCTTCCATCTGGCCAGCTAACTGTTCCAAAACCGAGTATATTTCTTCCTTCAGAGGATGCAACCGATCTGATACGGTGAAAGCATTTACTCTATTTTCTACTTCTATCCAACTAAGGGCTCGCTCTTTCCTCACATGTCTCTCATCCATAAGTTGTCTCACCTTCTCTACCAACTCCCATTTACCATGTTCAGCATATATACTTGAAAGTAGTACATAAGCAGCAGAAGATTGAGGCTCCAATTCAATAAGGTGTTCGGCCACTTTTCTTCCCAGCTCTGTGTTTCTGTGAATTCTACAGACACCAAGTAACGCATTCCAAACTTGATCGCCAGCTTTACATGGCATATTCTTGAGCTGGTTGATTAATTCATCAAAACATCCAGCTCGACCCAAGAGATCAATCAAGCATGCATAATGTTCTTGATCAGGAACAATGCCATGATCACCAGTCATGGACTTGAAAAAACTAAGCCCTTCCTGCACTAGACCAGAATGACTACATGCATTGAGAATGACGACAACAGTTGTCCTATCCGGTTTGACTCCTGATCTGATCATGTCCTCAAACATCTGCATTGCCTCTATACCGTTACCATGCTGTGCTAAGGCAGATATCAATGTGTTCCATAATACAGTATCTTGCTTATCACCCATGAGCTTGAAAACTCTCCTTCCAGCCCCTAAATCCCCACATTTTGAATACATATCTATAAGAGAGCTCACAACAATTGTGTTGGGTCTAAAATTACTTCGGATTAAAGACGCATGTACTTGTTTACCATGCTTAAGTGAAGCTATACTAGCAGAAGCACAAAGGCAACTACTAAAGGTAAACTGATCAGGTCTAACTTGATACAACATCATCTCCGTAAACAATGCAAGGGCTTCATGCCCCAGACCATTTCTAGCATAGCCGGAAATCAAAGCTGTCCATGATACAGGGTTCTTCTCGGGCATCTGACTGAACAATTCACTAGCTGATTCCATATCACCCCATTTGGCATACCCCGAAACTAGTGTGGTCCAAGCAAGAACATCCCTCACTGGCATGTTATCGAACAATCTCCTAGCATCTCCCATCTCCCCACACTTGGTATAAGCATCAACAAGCGAACTAGAAAGCACAACATTTGACAAAAATCCAGCAAACAAAACCTGCCCATGAACTTGCCTGGTAAGCCCCAATTCCTTCAATTTCACACATACAGTCAAAACACCAGCAAAACTAAACTCATTGTAACCAATTGACAATCTCCTTAACTCTCTATAATACCTCAAAGCCTCATCACAAACTCCACTCTGGGCATAACCAATCACCATGGTGTTCCACGACACCACGTCCTTCTCCGGCATTTTATCAAACAAACTCCTCGCCTCCTTCAGATTCCTCATTTTAGCATACCCAGAAAGCATATTGTTCCAAGAATACAAATTCCTAACAGACATTTTATCGAACACCCTGCGGGCCTCAACGTCATCTGCGCATTTAAAGTACATATTAATCAAATGGTTGGCTAGAAACGTTGGGGGGTGTTTGAAACCAGTGAGCCTTAAATGGATGTGAACCCATTTGCCTTCTCTGAGAGACCCAGTGGCTCCACACTGTTGAATGAGGAAAGCGAGAGTCTTGGTGGGTAAGCGGATGCCCTTTTGAACTAATAGGTCGAGGGACGAGAGGGCTTGCGAGAGGTGGCCTTGAGAGCAGAGTTTGAGGAGAGATTGGACGACGCAGGGAGGCTTGGCGGTGAGGCGTTTGTTAGGCTTGGTGAGAGTGAGAGTTGGGGAAGAGAGAGAGGGCATTGCAGAGTGAAACCATGAGAGGTTTGTGCTGAAGTCTCTTCATCTACGGTGGGTTGGTGATGGCGGTGGTTATGGGCCTTGAGGGTTTAGCTCCGGCGACGTCGAGCATTGCCGGTAGTAATGATTGAATTGACAGTGACAATGCGGGCTCGTACACATACTAATCCGATGTTTTGATGCGTACCATGTAACTCGGGTGGGCCTTAACCCGCTTTGTTTATCTCAATAATATATATGTTTTTTATTTATTATTTGGATATCAACGATATTGAAGAAGGGAGAAATTAAGGGTCTGTTTGGGAGTGCTTCTGAAAGGGCCAAAAGCTCTTTCTAATAACTAAAAGCGCTTCTGACAGCGTTTGGCAGAAAAATTTAGAAGCGCTTTTGGGTCATAGAAGCGCTTCTTGGAGAAGCACCTGCTATGTGCTTCTTCAGGAAGCACTCCCAAGTGCTTTTCCACGAAGCACTTTAATTTTTTATGAAAATTCAAGATTTTTATAATAAAAGCGCTTTTGTTAGAAGCGCTTATGAGCAGAAGTACTTCCTAGAGAAGCATTCCCAAACGAGCCCTAAGCCTAGGACCTCGAATGTAGGGGTAAATACTTTTAATTACTTGTCATATAGCTCTCGGTCATCAAGTGAGGTGGACCGCTTTGTTTCATTATAACTTTACTTCCTTAGGTTTATGGTATATAGAAGTGACTACTATATTGAGGATTAATTTGGGTACTCATATTTAGTACGAAACTTATTACATTGTATTTACTTCATATTAAAGTTTTTTCTAAAACATATGGAATTGGGTTGTTTACTAAATTCTCATAAATTGGAAAACCAAATTGATTACTAAAATGTCATCGTTGTTGGGTTAAAGTATATGACAAATTTGAAATTTTAAAAGTGTGTAAGGATATAATGGGTAAAAAATATGAATTCATAATAGGTTAGTTATTCAGGAATTAGAATACCACATCTACCAAAAAATTCAATTCCTCCCAAATCAAGAATTGAATTCTTTGCGTGGATCTCACTCGCATTTTCATTCCAAACTGATCATCTGGTTACCTACCTCACCACTCGTGTAGGCTTTCAATTACTCATTTACTTATATATTCCAAAACAATTAACGTTTTAACCGTTGAATAGAAGTTTAGATCATGTCTCAATTTTTAATCGAGGCATATGACTTCTTGTACCAAATCCCATATTAATAACTGAATTAAGTATTAACAATTGACATCCATTTTATTAACATATTACTTATTATCATTTCATCATGCCCGTTGCCCTAGAATATTGATTTTGACTTTTCAGGTAAATAAAAAATAAAAAAAATAAAAAAAATAAAAAACTATTATCCATCATATTATGCTTGCAATTTCGTGTTTGTACAAAATATGCAATAAAATGAGTCGTGAATGATGAGTCACAACTCTTACAACCTTCCCACATGTCAATGACTCAATCAATACATAGCAACTGGTTTATGTAATCTTAATTTATCATGTCATGATGTTGCATCGACCAAATGACAATTTTAACCTCCAAAAGCCAATGGTTCATTAGTCATCATGTATAGCTAGTAGATGAGAACGAA